TGTTTGAGGTGCTAATGTGGTAATACTTGTGTGTCTGGGGGGCAGGCTAAGTGTGCTTTTTCAGGAGGCAAATATGAAAGACTAATGCTTTTTCGGGCATTTCAGATTATACTTCTCTAACATTTTCCTGTAATACTTAAAGTAAGCAGAGTGTAGCACAGCACCAAATCTTTCTTTAGCCTTACGTACAGGGGAATGTTCTGTATATATATCAGAGCAAAATGCATCCTTCTATCTTCGGGGTTGTGTTTAATTCCAGGAGGCACAAATACATTTTTACTGTATCTTAAATCAGATTTTCTCTCACTTCAGCAAAAAAGCTGCCTAATACCTCTGCTATCTACAGTCCCTCTGGTAGCTCCAGCGTGATTGGAAACTTTGAAAAAAGACAGACAGCATAGCAGTTCTATTCCAAAACACGACAGCTATGAATGGAAAAGTGCCACCAAACTGCTCCGATGGATGTCTTTCATGAAAGAAGACTAACTCAGCAGCACAAGGGATGCTTCCAGCCTGCCTGTTGCAGATATGCACTACATTTCCACTGAGAATTTAAGCAAGTGAAATTTTGGATTTTAAAGGCTTTTTTATGCCATCAAGAAAATGTTAAAAAAAATACACTGATGTGCAGACTGAGCTGCAGCAGCTTCATTATCAGACCCACTAATCCCTTTCCTGTCACTGACCATATGGGACTGAAGCAGTAGACTGTTGTAAGAAACACTGTCAATATGGCTTCTCTTTACTGTATATTAATCATGCGAATTGGTTGGTTAAGTAACTTGAATAAAGTGCCAGATGATTTTATGCAGATAATGGTTGCCTTACATTTCCTGTTAAGTCACCATGAGGTTGCCAGGTTTTGTAGTGAAATATCTCTAGTAAATGTGGCACTGATATCCACATTAATAATATAATGTGATTGTGTGTTTAAATATTATTACAAGGGTGATGACTCCTGTGTGGACAACAGATTGTTTCATACACACTGGAGGATTTCATGACACAACTTGTCCGCTGCACATCTTCCATGAGATCCACCTGAATTTCACTTTTAAGGTTTTGGGTAATTGCCATTAGACGATAATAGACAGACACTTTCATGTTTCCCTGTGGATAATATGTTTGCTAATATGCACAGGGTCACATTTGATTTAGTTTTTTGGTTTAGGACAGAGGTATCAAACATAAATCCAGGGGGCCAGAATTAGCCTGGCAAAGACTCCAATAGGGACCACTGGATGGCTCTGGAAAATGTGAAATGTGAAGGAGTGCATAGATTTCTAAACTTTTTATAGCTTTTCCCATCGATAAATACTACAGCAAAGTAATTATGTAATAGATAAACAATTAAATGACAGAAAGTTCCTGTTTTTCACTATCTAATATATATATATATATATATATTTATAAAAAAAACAAAACACCCAGCAC